TTTTATAATTGCCTATATTAAAGAAACTGTGATATTGTAGAGTTATATCTAATTTATTTGTTTATCACTCACGCTAAATTTTAATTATTACTTTCATGTATATATTTTTAAAGTCTATCGATTTCACAATTAATTATATAAAATATTTTATTTATTTAACACAAAAAAATATAAATATGGCATAAATTGTAGTGTAGCTATATATTCATTGATGTGATTGTATTTAAAGTACCCCAACCGTTTTCTATAAAATTATCGGATTGGTTAGGGTCACAGTTAATAAATCAAATGGATCTTGGCTAGTTATAGTGTTATAAGTTCAGCTGCTTAAATTTTGAAAGACTCCGGTTTGGTTACGGCCTTAGAAAAATTGTAAAGGTATTTTATGGTTTTCGCAAGCTCCTCAAAATCAAAAGTATTGATAGCAAAATAATGAAGATATTTTTAATGAAAATTTTATTTTTGTCTCACCAATCTTATCTTCTTTAATAGTTATTTCAATTTTTAAGTAAAATTTATACAAAAATGCTCATGGCCTAAAATTGCAGCACTAATAATCGCTATAAAGTAATGTTGTAATGTAGCGTTGGTGAACCAAGAATGTTTTCCTTTGAAAAAATGATGAGTTCCTTATCGAACTTTGAACGTGAAAGCTTTCGTTTTTTACTTTCGTTCAATTTTAGAAAATCCTAATTTTTATTCATATGAAAATAAAAAATATTAATATTAATCCAAAACCAGCCATTATTTCTGCCCTATAGTATAGTTAATTAATTTGAATATTATTATTTATATTTTATATATAATAAGCCTAAGCTTAGATGTTGTTATTTTATCATCATCTAATTCTGAATTATGGCCCAAAATAAATACTTTACAGTAATATCATATATTCAATAATTTAATTTGATCCTTACCAAATGTAAAATGCGTCCAAAAAGTATAATATCAGGTTCAAAATCTTCAAGTTCTAATTTTAAGATACTTGATTGTAATATTTATTATTTTACATAATAAACTATAAGCTTCCTGTTAATAACAGGGTTATTAAATTTTTATGTATTATTATAGATACATAATATATATTGTATTCATAGATATAAAATAGTAACTTTTATAATTTATTTATTTTTAGTGTGATTATTTAAATTTTGTTTTACAAGGGTTTTATATTAGTTGAACAAAATTTAATATACGTTATAAATAATTATATTATATATAATATATATATATAAGTTTGTATATATTAAAAATTAATAAGAAATTTCTTTAATAAATAAAAATATATTTTTATTCACTTAAAATTAGTAATTTTAAACATCTAATATATTGTGTTAAAAAATATATGGCATTTATTTATATTAAATAAAATTTTAAAAAATAATTTATTCTTAAAATTTTGAACGAACACCTTTTTATTGAAGATAAACGTTGAAGTACATGAACGCTTAGGTCATTGTACGTTGAAAGCAAACGCGTTCAATTTTTTTTAGAAATATTTACAGTACTAACTATAAAGTATAAACTACCAATTGAGGCAGAAATGAATTGATTATCCAATTTATATTTTAATGACGAAAAAAAAGTATGTTATATATTTTCTTCAAATTTAATTCTATTTAAGCATGTTAAATTTGTTAAACTGCTCGATTTGAACCGATTTTTAGTAACAGCTAATTCAATATCTCATAAAAATATTGCCTAAGCCTCGAGATTTCACTAATAGATGTTCAAATCTTTGTACCATCTATGAGCATAATCTCTAGGCCTGCGTAATTTCTGGATAAAATATCGAGTTTGCCGTTTTTATAAATCAACTCAAATAGAGCAGTTTAACAATACTAAGCCTGAAGATTTTGCCCATTATTCGCCGAATCTTGAAGCTTGCATAATATTATATTGGCCAAAATATTAAACCGGCCGTTTTTAAAAATCGATAATCGAGCCGTTTAACAACACTAATTATTGTCTGGTCGTCTGGTTTGCAGCCTTTCCTCTACTCTAAGATTCCTTATTTATTTATTTTTATTTCTACTATACATCAATAATTATTTGTTACATTTGTATAGTAATATTGCGTTAAGTTGTAGACTTTGGCAGGAGCTTGGCAACACCATTAATAAAATATAGACTGGGTCCCGAAAAAAAAAATATTTATGTGATATTTCTTTCCTATTCTTACCTTCTTTTTTTTACCTAATTGAATATCTTATTATAAGATAAATAATTTTAAGAATAAAATGAGAAAAATTACAAAAACCAGAGAAGTGGGAAATAATTTCATGCTCATATCGCATTTTATAAAATAGAATAACTTATTGCATACAATAAAATATTTTAGAGTAAGTCAAACCTAGGGCCTAGTCTAAACTTTAAAAAACTGAACGTCAGGTGATCTTCAGCCAAAAAATTAATTTAGCAGATCTCAAGCAGGAGTCTATAATAAATATATATTACATTTATATATTATTACTTTTAAGGGTCGGTGTAAAAATATAACCAAAAACATTATTCCTATAATGCCGATAGGATAAAAGATAATATTTTAGGGCAATAACTAATTTTCTTTATGGCAAGCCGTTTATATTCCAAAAAACCTAATTGTGCCCGGAACCATATTCCAGTACTACACTCCTCTAAATCAGTTGGATATATCAAATCGGAATCGTCACTTATAGTGGGAGATTCGAGAAATAATGGATCGGCCGATATCATTTCAAGAAACAGATCCAATCTAAAAAAATTTTTTACAAATTATATAATAATCGAAATAAACTATTTTTTATTTTTGTAGCAAACCCATTTTTTAAAATTTTTATTAATTTTTTATTCTATTTTTTTATAAGAATGAGTCAGAAGAGGGAAAAGAAAGTAGATTTTTAAAAACAAAAACTTTTTCAATCTTTTCTTCAAATGTAGAAAACGTAGAACAAAAAAATTTCTATATTTTAAAGGATAAGTTCAAACCAATTATGTATATAATATACTACTAGATTATCAATTCATTAATTAAAAGTGTACATGCATAGCAGACAGTTGTAGCACATTTTATGGTTTTAAAATTGTCTAATTATTTTATTTTTATATGAACGCACATTAATATGATTTTCTAAATGCTTTTAATGAATATCAATCTAATAATATTTATATACATCATTGATCTAAACTAGTGTTGTTAATCGGCTTAGCGGGGTCGAATGCCAAAATTCTATTTAAGTTTTGAGTCATAAAACTCAATCAAATTGGGGGGGGGGGCTCAATGAGTCGTATGAGTTAACTCGATAAGTCGACTTATAATTTTTAAAAATATTTCTCGTGGATTAATAATAATAGCAATGCGATTCAAAATGAATTAGATCCGAATTTAAAGGAGCTAATGTGGCTCATTGGTCCTCTCAATTTAAAATAGGAGTCGTAAAACTCGACTTTTTGACAACACTAGTACAAAATTGATTTTTTTATTTTACTCTTAATACATTAAGATTAAAATTGTAATTAAAAGATTGATATATCTTTGATACCTTTTATCTTAAATCCTAATACTATTTTAAAAAAATTCCATATTTTTTTTACAAATTCAAATTTTGTTATTCGAATTAAAGAAGTAAAATTTGATAGCAAAAGATTTGAAAGAGGACTTTGTATTCAAACCGGAAATATTTAAAATAATAATAGGCAATGGAAATATAAATTTTAAGCTCTGATATTATTAAAACTTAAAGAGACTAGACTAGCCCTATGTCCAATGTAGAGCAAAATAACAATAAAAAATATTTGATGATGATTGGGAAAATAGATTATTTGAATATTTAATCTCAATTTTTAAGACCTTTGATGGCTTATCTATTAGAAAGGTATTTAAAAGTATTATGTGTAAAAGGGATTATAAAAAATTTTGAGTGATAACAAAAATTCTGTTATTTTGTGTGTTATTATTTTATATCAAATGTTATTGTTTATAAGATCTAGTATTGTATGAAATAATAAACAATGTATCTAATCTGAATTAATTTTTTTGTGTTGTATAGAAAATCTTATAAACCATTTATTCGGCAAGCCTTACGAGGATCGAATACCCCATGAGTTCTGGACTTGTAGAGTAAATCCACTTTTACTTAATAAATTTCTGAAACATAATAATGTATAATTATAGGGAAAGATTTAAGATATCGATTAATATTTATTTTAAATACAATAATTATTTTTAGAGATACTAAAAATTTGACAAAAATTGCGCCTATCAGCGGTCTCTTCCGTTAGTATTAGATTTTAACAATAAAACATTTTCAAAGTTTTATCAAGTAGGTAAAAAAAAGATTTTAACCGACTGAATAAGCGTTCAACTGATGCGCTGGAAGGAATAATAGTGTTTTATTTATTAACAAGAAAATTATTCAAAATGGCAAAATCCTTTTCAAAAAATATAAAAGTTTTGTTTTATATTTAAATTATGTATTTAATCAATGACATTAATTTAATATTTATTAAATATAAAATTAAAATAGCTAGTATTTATCAATTTAATAAAGAGTCATATCCATAAAAAAAATAAATAGACAATTTTATTAATCTTGTGAAAATAAAATATTTTTCATATATCTATATTAAAAAGTAAGAATGAATTATAATGTAGGATAACATATAATATGATGAAAAATAACTTGGATTGATTAATTAAACAAAAATAAATATTGAAAAATAAAACTATCATTTAAAAAAAAGTATTCATTTCTTTGATATCTATTATATTTTTTTATATGTATGCATTTGTTAATTTTAATATTTATTTATAATAAAAGTATCAAAAACATCTATATTTTATGTATCGGTACTAAATGCATTTAAGAAAAATGTATTAAGAAATTTATTTGTATCTGTATCGATGTGCTTTGTTAAAATTTGTGTCAGTATATTTCGATATGTTTAAAAAGTATCGTTCGTTAGTAAGTGTTGATATATAAATTGTCAAGCCTTCAAATCATACTCAATCAACTGTCATTTTTAATTTTAGATCGTAATGTAGTGTGTATATTCACAGGCATTTTACTTGTGGTTTCTACGAAAATTATGTTTTATCATGTAATTATTTCTAAATTTTAATGATATTATATTATTTTATAGATGCCATTAGAACAGGAAATTATATTGCATCCTCGATATTTTGGACCTAATTTACTAAATACTGTTAAGCAAAAATTATTTTCTGAAGTTGAGGGCACATGTTCTGGACAGTAATATTTTTTTAAATTACCTCTATATGTTTTTTAAATTACCTCTATATGTTTTTTAAATAATTATAGATATGGATTTATAATAGCAGTAACATCAATAGATAGCATAGGGTCAGGCATGATTAAGCCAGGCAGAGGATATGGCACTTATAAAGTTAAGTATAATGCAATTGTTTTTATGCCCTTTAAAGGAGAAATTTTAGATGCAATTGTTACTCAGATAAACAAAGTTAGTATTATTCATCTATTTAATTTTATACTTAATTATTGTGAAAGAATTTATAACTATTTAATATTATATTTAGGTGGGTATCTTTTGTGAAATTGGTCCATTAACTTGTTTCATTTCCAAGCATGTAAGTATGAAAATATAATTAAATATAAGAGATATACATAATATAATTTAAATTAAGCTTCTTTCATAGGGGGCACGTATTTTATCATGCCCTATTAACACTACAACATGCCTGCCTGAGCCTTTTTAATTGTTTATGAAGCAAAAGAATAATTATAAAACAAAATTTTTGGGCAATGTAGACCTCTAACTAAAATAATTTGTATAAATTTTTATTGATTTTTTACATAGTGTTTTAAAAAAATAATATACTAATTTAAGTCACTGGATAGGGAATGATCAAAGAAAATTAAAAATCATTTATAATATAATATTTACTGTTCTTAATTACTTTTATCCTAGGCCATGGCATCAATTTAAAATAATAAAATAAAAACATGTTTTACTTTAATTTTTAAGTTTATAATCAAATTAAGAAAAAAACTATCATAAAAAAATTTAAGGGTCTTGTAGGCACTAGTGTTGTAAAAAAGCCAATTTGGGTCAATTTAAAAAAATGGCCCGATTAAGATTATAACCAAAATAACATAATGTAAGCCTAAAGATTTTGCTCATAGCTAACAGAAATGATCTGGCTTCTATTTGCCATTTTTATTATTTTATTAAAAAATATAATATATATTTTATGTTATATAAATAAATAAAAGTGTATTATATATATATATGTTATTTCAAATAAATAAATTGATTATCTCAAATAAATTATTATAAAAACGAAATTAATTAAACATTAAAAACATTTATATTAGTAGTTATTAGAATTTACAAGAATTTTGATATCTAAATCGACAAATATTCTTCAATTCTACCCCCCCCCTTCCCCCATGTAGACCACAATTTCACTATATTATCAATTAGTTTTTTTTCTTTGTTTTTTTAAACTTATTTTATTCTCATAATCTCAATTATACATTTATTCAAATATAGAAATAATTTGTATACTTATAGTAGTGTTAATTAAATTCAATGACAGTATGGTATAATAGCAAAGAAAATAGTGATAATGATATTTACAAGATGGCTTAAAGAAATGCTAAGAATTAATACCAAAGGCTCAAGAAGAAAAAAGACACGAGTTTGCTAAAGAAATTGAATGTAGTGATCTGCATTGGGCCTAATTTTTTAAGCACAGCCCAGCCTGAAATTTTTTTAAAAAATAACAAATTAAAATTGATGAAATGCAGTTTAACTTTACATCGAGAAAAGCATGACAGATGCAATTTTTGTGTTGAAACAAATGTAGGAGAAGTATCTTGCGAAGGAAAGAAACTCTATTATGTGTTTGTTGATTTGGAGAAAGCATTTGATAGGGTGCCGTGTGAGGTTACTAGATGGGCTTTGAGAAAATCAGGTGTGGAGGAATGGTTGGTTATCGCAGTGATGGCAATGTATGTTGGAGCAGAAACAGCAGTACGGACGGATTATGGTGATAGTGACAGCTTTGAGGTGAAGGTAGGACCTTCATCAAGGATCCATGCTGATTACTTAGTAATGGATGTGTTGGCTAGAGAAATGTGTGAAGGACTTCCCTGGGAGCTATTATATGCAGATGACCATGTATTAATGGCAAACAGTGAAGAAGAAATGAGGGATAAAATTAGTAAATGTAAGATGACTATGGAAGCAAAGGGCCTGAAAATGAATGCATCAAAAACAAAGGTGATGATTGGTGGGGAAAATCTAAAGATGGAGGAATCCGGTAAGTGGCCTTGTGGTGTATGTGGGAAAGGAGTTGCTAGAAATTCTATCCAATGCACCAGATGCCAGAAATGGGTATATAAAATATGTAGCGGGAAAAAAGGAAGTTTGATGTTAGAAAGAATGACCTTTATTTGTAGAACATGCATGAAAGATACATAATAATGATAACCTAGAAAATGGTGGTCTGGATATTGGCAATGGGTTAACCCTAGAAAAAGTGGATAAGTTTTGGTATTTAGGTGATATGCTAAATGCAGATGGTGGTGTAGATTCTGCCGTTGTTGCAAGGATCAGACAAGCTTGGAAAAGTTCAGAGAGATGTCGTCTATTCTTACAAATATTAAAGTTTCTCTGAAGTTAAAGGGGAAAGTTTACGTAAGCTGTGTGAGGAGTTGTTTAGTTTATGGTGGCTGGGCAATGAAAGCTACTCACGAAGCCAGATTAGAAAGAACAGGGATGAGGATGATTAGATTGATGTGTGGGGTATCTCTAAGAGAGAGAAAAACTAGCAAGGAATTGCGAACAAAATTAGGTATAGAAATGATTGGAATGGTAATGCGACGAAATAGACTAAGATGGTTTGGGCATGTTGAACGTATGACAAAAGATGACTGGGTAAAGAGATGTACAATGATGAAAGTAGGAGGATCAAGACCTAGAGGAAGACCCAAGATGACATGGACAAATGTGATAGCGGCAGATATGAGACGCATGAATCTTACAAGTATTGATGCTCAGGACTGTCAAAAATGGAAAAGAAAAATCAAAATGAAAACTGACCTACCCGGGTAAACCTGGAAATCGCCATAAAACGGAGAAGTCTGGCAATTTATTCATTTCAACAACCCCCCCCTCCCCAGCAAATATCTGAGAATTATATTCATCTTTTCCGCAACTTTGTATTACCTTCTTTATTTTATGTTTGTAGACTAACATCCAAGGTTCTCAGGTCTCATCCATTGCCGGGGAGAACTCCCAATAATAATTCTTTAATTTCTCTCACAATTTTTAAAATTTTCTAAGATTCTTTCCCAATAATTTTTTTTGAAAAAATTTCAATCCTCCCATAGAAAAAATTATTTTTTCCACCAAATTTTGAAAATCTTTTTCAGCATCAATACCTTATCATTTGTTCCGATTTCTAAAAAAAACTATACCCATTAAAATCATTTTTTAAATTCCAAAAAATGTTCGCCAATAATGCACAACTAAGTCGGAGGGTGGGGTAATAATAAACGTAACGAGCAATAAATCTTATTTTTTATTTTTTTGGCCAACCCTATTATTACACCAGTATCATAATTAAATAAAAACTGTGGTATTAAAATATATATAACTAAATAACAGCTAATTGTCACCAAATAACATATAATCTTCCACTAATATCACTTAATAAAAAATATGAAATAATCATAAAAATGTATACTATTCTTCTTCTCCGTTTTATGGCGATTTCCAGGTTTACCCAGGTAGGCCAGTTTTCCCTCTGATTTTTCTTTTCCATTTTTGACGATCCTGAGCATCAATACTTGTAAGATTCATGCTTCTCATATCCGCCGCTATCACATTTGTCCATGTCATCTTGGGTCTTCCTCTAGGTCTTGATCCTCCTACTTTCATCATTGTACATCTCTTTACCCAGTCATCTTTTGTCATACGTTCAACATGCCCAAACCATCTTAGTCTATTTCGTCGCATTACCATTCCAATCATTTCTATACCTAATCTTGCTCGCAATTCCTTGCTAGTTGTTCTCTCTCTCAGAGTTACCCCACACATCCATCTAACCATCCTCATCTCTGTTCTTTCTAATTAGGCTTCGTAAGTCGCTTTCATTGCCCATGTTTCTCCGTCATAAACTAAACAACTCCTCACACAGCTTACGTAAACTTTCCCCTTTAACTTCAGAGAAACTTTTTTATTTGTAAGAATAGACGACATCTCTCTGAACTTCTTCCAAGCTTGTCTGATCCTTGCAACAACGGCAAAATCTACACCACCATCTGCGTTTAGCATATCACCTAAATAACAAAACTTATCCACTTTTTCTAGGGTTAACCCATTGCCAATATCCAGACCACCATTTTTTAGGTTATCATTATTATGTATCCCTTTCATGCATGTTCTACAAATAAAGGTCATTCTTTCTAACATCAAACTGCCTTTTTTCCCGCTACATCTTTTATATACCCATTTCTGGCATCTGGTGCATTGGATAGAATTTCTAGCAACTCCTTTCCCACACATGACAAGGCCACTTACCGGATTCCTCCATCTTTAGATTTTCCCCACCAATCATCACCTTTGTTTGCTTCCATAGTCATCTTCCATTTAATAACTTTATCCCTCAATTCTCCCTCACTGTTTGCCATTATAAAAATGTATACTATAATATTGAAAATCACATAACTCCATGAGTATTTATTTTTGTTTAGCAGATTTTAATAGTAGGTATTAATATAATTAATTATATATATATTTTCCCCTATTTAATTTTAATATGCACCTCCTGAGAATTCCACTTGCAGCACCGTAAATGTTTTCTCCATAATTTTTATTGTCTCTATTTTATAAAATGTATGATCATTGGTTACATTTCATACACAATTTAACAGGTGTTGAAGTATCTAGATACAAAATAGATAATATTTTAGACGTATCTCTATCTGCTTAAAGATACATTTTGATATACCTTTATTTAACGCTTTTTTATCTTAAAAATAAAAATATTTAGACTAATATATTAATATAAATATTTATTTCTGAGAAGACCAGCATTTGTACCATTTGCACGGCCTGGCTCGGATTTTTTAAAAATTTAGAGTTTGCAGGTCTCTGATATATATATGAAATATTTAAATTTATATATAAAAAAATATATAAATATTCATTAAATAATACTTTTTCCCACATAAATCTTGTGAAGGATATTTTTATCATGTGAAGAAATATATAAATCCTTGCTTAGCCATGACGCTCATTAATTATTAAAAACAATATCATTGGTGCACACAATAATTTTATAGATCGCTAACTTTTAATGTATAAATTATAAGTTTGTATAAAAAAAAAATTTTTTTTAATAAATGCTCGTTTTAAATGAGAATTTGCTCGAAAAAACGATAAAATAAGGGTATTAGCATTTTTTTATTATTTTTTTATATGGTGTTCGAATAGAATAAAATATAAAATGTTGCTTACGTATTATACTCTCATAGTAAAAGTTTATGTTCGAGAAAGACGCCGAACCATATATATAAGTATGATAAAAATTGTATCTATCGAGATACGTTTTTAGACAATGTATCTTTTAGCTAGATTCGTTTAAAAAATATCTTTTAACATTTGCAACTTAATATCAAAAACAAAATGTATTCATTTATAAATTTCTAACATTTGCATACAATCTAATATTTTACAAATCTTCAGCATACATTTTTTACATCACACTACCTTTGATTAGAGGTTTGCAATGGGCGGATGTTTATCATGCCCACCCATATTTTGAACGAGCTTGGGCGGCATGCTAAAATTTTAATATCATATGGATATAGGCTGGTTAAATACCTTTAAATTGAAAAAAAAAATATTTTCTTCGTAATAAAGTTAATTTTGTCAACAATTAAAAGAATATATCATTTTATTGGCTTAGAATATTTTTCAAAAATCAATTCTTGACTCAATGTAGGCCATTTAAAAAAAATTTTTAAGGGTATCAGCCAATGGTATGCTAAATGATATCGGTTTGTAAATACCAATATTAGTGAGTTAAAGTTAGGGAGGAAAATATTTTCCCCTGCAAAAATGGGTTTTTTATCTCCTAGTTATGAACTAATGACATATAATGCATAGACTGAAGATTCGGCCGTTTTAAACATGTCTCAATACAAATCAGCTGATTTCACGTCATTTTGGTTTCCCCATATTAAATTTTTTTTAAAATAATCGGTCTTCTAATATAAAAAAAATTATAAAAGATACCAAAATTGGCGTGTTACCAGCTGATGATCTGTATTCAACCACGCTTCAGAGAGCATTTTAATGAATGTATCCTCAGGATGACTCAAATTGAGCCGTTTAACAACATTAATCAGTCTAAGCAAGTATTCGATGTCATTGGCTAGGCCTTACAAATCAGAATTGAACTCGTTCTGATACAAAAAAATATTAATATCACCATCTGTTAAACGTATGTTATATACCACTCCACTTAATTGTGGTAAATTTAGCAACAAAATATAATTATATCTTATTTGGGAATTTCCGTAAAAATAATTTCTCGTGTAAAAAGATAAGTAAACAGGATTAATAATACTTCTGAAAAATATTCCTTGGGGGGGGGGGGGTTGTCTGAGTATCTTCAATTCCATTTTTCAAACATAAAACAAACTTTTATTGAAATTACTTTATATATTGTATATGTATATTTTATTAAAACTTAACACATCAGAGTATTCCTTCCAACATGGAATTTGATCCCAATTTAGGTCAACCATGCTATAAAACAGTAGACGATGTAAGACCTATAATCTGATACACTTTAAATTATTTATTTTTAGGGCATATCCATCAAAGAGCATAATGAGATAAGGGTCAAAATAGTCGGCACCCGAATAAATGCATCTGATATTGTAATTGAATTATTTTAAATATATTTTTTTACATCTATGTGATGAATATATTGAGGGTATTATAAAAGTTTAGTATTTGCCAAAAATAATCTTTTATTATTATATCTTCATTTTCTTTAAAACTTCTAACCATCAATTTTTGTGTTTTATAAAAAAAATAACCTCTAGTTCGCCATTGGTTCACTAATGGATGATTTCTTAGGTAAAAAATTATAATTTACATAATAATTATCGCGTTATATATATTATTATTGTACCTTAACTTTTTTTCAAAATTTTATTCAGGGCTGTCAGAGTATCATGTCTAATCAAGCATACTATTGTTATTATTTATGTATATAATTTATTTGCAATTATGTACATATTTTATATTGTGAATTATTATTTGTAAATAAATTATATTATAAATAAAGTTTAAAAAAATCTTATAGCAAAATTACAATTTAAAGCCTAAAAATTAAAGATGTACACTAGATTCAAATTTTAACCGAAACTGGGCAGAATTTTAAACTCTTCCCAGTAATCGGCAGTGTCCGGTATCAGATGTTGCACAAATAATTTTGAAACTCATTATTCGATTTAATATTTAATTTAAAAATCAAAGTGTTAAGAATTTATTGACATTTTTTTTAACTATATACTTTATTTTATTCACTAACGGTATTATTAATTTGAGTTGCAATAATAATTTAATTAATAAATACATGTATTATAATTAGTTAGCTTATAAGGATGGCTTCTTATTGACCTCATCAAATTGTGGTGCAGTTCCATTTATTACTCTGCATCTGTGTTATCCTTGATAAAAAAAACTCGGAATAATTATATGGAGGATGGGCCTTCATATGATTCACATTCTCTGGGCAGGTTTGTGACCAACGTGCAAGATAAAATATTAAAATTTAAGTATAATATAGTAACAGATCTATAAGTACGATGTCTTTTTTTAAATATGTTTTTCATAAAATATCTAAAAACACATGAGTAAATTATCAAACCTTTGCCAAAACCAACTACCTAGAGTATAACTTGGGAAAGTAGCTTGACATAAAGCTTAGTATTATTTTATAATTTTAAAAAATGGGTGCCTTACGTATGGACTCTTACCAAAACATTGACAGGTAATTTTCGATGATTAGCAGTTTACAACTCTAACTTTGATATGATAGAGTTTGAGGAAATATTTTTAAGAGGAGATAGATAAGGTACCCCGGCTCTGTAGGTTTACCTATATCTTCTAACTTTTAGGGAAATGGACTTTATATAATTGTTTGTAACTTAAAAATATGGACTAATATATCATGGTAACTTCTCTATGTAGGTGTTAGTCCTCCAACCCTCCACCAATATTGTTTGATAGAAAGATAGAGATGAAAACGCCCAAAAACTTCGTAATGTTTCCCTATGAATTTTCCCTCTTTAAATTTATATGAATAACTATTTTTTAATAAATATTCATTACTATTAGGGCTGGGAGACTTGATGTTAGGACAACATTATATTTAATATAAGAAGTAATAATTTAATTTTTTTTAAATTAGTTCAGATGATGACCAGATTTATTTTGTAAAGTCCGCAAAGGTTGGCATTTTCATATCGCGATGTTATTTCTTATAATTATATAAAAAGATCTTATTGACATCGTATGGTACTACTGAGTATAATTTGTAACAAGAAATTACATTCCCTCGGAAGGTAGTCGTAATTTTAATTATTAAGTTAGTTTAATTTAATTGATAATTCTATATAATATTTAGTTAAACAAAAATTTTGTTACATGTACATCTAACTAAAATTTAGTACAATTATTTAAGACATAGTATGTGAAAATAATCTTACTGAGATGTGTTCACAGGATGACTTAGATGCGGAATATATATTTTTTGGAAGCATATGAGTAGTGTTGTTAAAAGTGTGATATGGATCGACTTTTAAAAACGGTCCGATTATGATTTTAGTCAAAATAATATTATGTAAGCCATGGGATTTGAACTAGTGGTCTAATCCTTTCTGTCATCTATGAGCAAAATCTTAATCGGGTTCATTTTAAAAATCGATGCATTTAATAAATACATAGGAAACAATGTTAATATTGTCTGTATTACCAGTCTCCTCTATGTGAAATTTAAAATAATTTTTGAAGTTTGGCTAAGATATTTTAACATCTTATATGGGTAATAGACTTTTAGAAAGACATGGTACAATTTCTATTTCATCATCCTCATTAAAAGACAAAAACAAGAATTTGAAAGAAAAATAAGTGAAAGCAATAATTTTTTTAAATAAAGACTATAATTCAAAATTTTTTAAAAAAAGTGATAAACCAAAATTATTTTTATACAGATATAACCTAGCCGATGCCCTACAAAGCCTACCAATAAAATTTAGGAGCTAAAACCCACGTAATAATGCTTTTCCTCTAGAAAAATCTAGGCTACGGCTATGATTCTATATCTGTCTGATTTACTTATCAATATTAATTAACTATACAAAAAAGGTCCACATACAGAATCAAATATTTAAAAAATATAACACTGTTAATAGTTACAATTTTTCAAATATTATTAGTTACTGTTATTTTGTATAAATGTAACTAATTACTTTATCAACACTATATTATGTTCAAAATACGTTTCTTCTTCAAGTAGCAACAGACTAAAGAAATATATAAACCTTTTTTAAAATAAGAGATGCTCGAGGCATAAAATGATATTTTACTTCTAACATCACAAAAATCCACTGACTCTTTGCAATCTTGTTTACAAAATTCAATAAACCAATTAATTCTTTTTACTCCTCTACATCGTCAAATAAATTTTTGCAACGGAATTTAATTAAAATTCGTTGTTGTCATGAGTATTAAACAGATCTCAGATATGCAACAAATATTCCTTTAATATGCTAAAGAGCAAATATTTTATGGCAACTCTACACTCAAATGCAACTGGTAATTCCCATGCTGTAGAGTTTATCAGTAAAAAAAGTTAGAAGTAATCGAAGAACTGCGTCTAAACAAAATAACAGCGAATGCTGCCAACGTATAATTATTATCTGCATATACTATGTTACAAAATTGGATTGAAGAAATCTGTACCAAAGGTAAGAAACTGGTAAACTTTTTTAATTAGAGATTCAACAGAAACGGCGATATGGCAAATTCATCTCTCTAAAAAAATATAAACCGCCCTATGGGGAACTGTTTATTTGATGTATAAAATCCCTGATGGAATCTAAGAAAGCGCTCATTTCAAAAATCTAAGTCACTAATTTTAACAACTCGAGCACAAATGAGAGAGTAAAATTATTATTTGAAAATAGGTTTTCTTTTATTGTTACCAATACTATGATGCTCTTGGCATATCTTCTAAATTCAATAGAAATTAAAAAAGAGTTAATATCTTTCCTTAAAGATAAAATTAGAGTAGAAGAATTTTTCATTATTTGGGCCAAAATATTAAAACATAGATTAAACAGTGGAATGACATTCCAGCTTATGAGAGGCCCGCGATTCGCCGACGGTGTCACCATTTTCTGATACCTTTGAAAATCTAAATATTATTCTATATTCTTAGTTGATTCGTTAAAATCTTTTTTTTCTATATTTTAATAACCAATATTTTAAAAGTGATATTAACATTTTCCGAATCAGCTTGAAGAGCTAAACATGATTTTATATTCATGTTTAAATTAGTGCAATATTATCGAGAATTCATAAGAATTCGTACTTTATTAACACACGAGATGTAAAATATTTAAGTTCTAAAAATAATAAAAGTTATCTTACGAGGACTAGAACACTAATACCTGATAATTTATAATTAGATAATGACCTGAAGTCAGATGTTATGTTTTATTTGAATCCAGTTGATATTGCCGAAAAATTCTCTAAATTAACTCATTGTGTTATACTAGTCGTATTCTCTTCCATTAGATAGATGTCAAGCGGAACTTACAGATTTTTTAGAAAAAATGGAGGTAAAAATAATTCTTGTTTTAGGGGAACTTTGTTATCTTTATCCCATTTCTGTTTTTTTATTGATACTTTATTTATTTAAAAAAATGACAAAACACTAAAATATTAAAACAAGTATATAAAAATATGTAAAATTACTAAATAAAAATAAATATATTGAAGGTTCTAAAAAGAGCTTAATTTAATAATGAATGTATTGGAAAATTAATTTTTGGAAGATTTGGAAGTATAAGTAATAATATTGTTTTGAATAGTCATCAAAAAAAAATTATACTATTTCATATTGACCAGGCAATTTTTTTTTATTTACTCATCTTTATTTCAGATTCTATGAACCTTAAACCTCAATATTGATAGCAATCATAAAGACTTACATTAAATAATTTAAACTTAAAATCAGCCACCACCCACCTTTAAAGTAATTAACTTATACTGCAGTTCTTGGGCATAGGCTCTTTTTCTGCCCCTCTCTTTTTCTTAAAGCCTATGTATGTCTGTAACATTTTTCGAAATGTTGCGCGTACAAGTACGTGCGGCTTGTCCACAAACGTCTAGAGGGCCCCTCATATTTTTTTAACTTTACACCCCAATTAACTTATGTTACAATTAGATGGAAATGAGGAAACCCTAGCGTAGCTCTGTTGTTTATTCAACGTCAAAGATATCACGGATCACGGAATATATACCTAAAAAACAAGTATAATTGTGTTTAAAAATTTCTAGTTGAAGTTTTTGTTTAAGAAATAAGGATCGATTTTCGTTTGTTATGTTAAAATTTTTCGTAAGTTTTTAAAAAAAAATATGTAGACTGTGAAAAATTGCCGTTAGTTGATATGATTATTGGCTGAAATATAAAGTTATTTAATTTTGAATATTTATTAATTTTTTTATTTTTTTCACAAGAGGGTTTGAATTAATTGATGAAGGAAAAGGGGAGACGCAGGTTGCGTCCCAAATAAGGGATTTCCCATTGGACTAGGGGATGCAGGTTAAACCGTCGGGTCTGAGGCCGTCCTGTAATGAGAGGTTGGTAGGTTCAAGGATGTTGGTTAAGTCTTTTTAAAGCGTTATGGATGATTTTATTAATTGCTTTATGGCGGAGATGGTGACCTTGGCTGCGAGCGCAGTTTAGGCCGTGTATGGCGTTAGTTAGAACGGATAAGCTGTGTTGGCAAGTGTGTGACTGTGTAGGCAAACATCCAAGTCTAATTTTTATAGTAACCTAGTTGTTCATTGGTTAAGAGATTATCTAAGGTTTAGCTTAGAAGTGCTTCGAGCCATTCATGCCCGCCGTATTTATCGTTGAATTGTAATAGTTGTATATCGCTAATATCGGTAGGGTTAAGACCTTGTAATTTCTTTATTAGGGCTTCGATGATAGATTTATTATAAATTTCGGTTAGAAATATATAACCGTCTGGAGTAAGTAGATTCCATCTTTCAATTGCTGCCGTTAGAAGATCATCATTGGGAGTTATGAATGATAATATCGCAGAATTGAGCGATAGGCGATTTGATATAAAAAGAGATAGAAGTCGATACCACCTAGTTATGCGGTTAATTGGGCTAGGTGCCAATTAAAGTCTGATAATTAAAGATTGAGAATCCTTTCTATAAAGGTCTTTAAGCGAATATTGTGTTGAATAATTTTGAGGAGGAGGATGAGTGGAAGAGATGCGAGATTTTAGGAAGATATAAACATTTTTTAATAAGTAAAAAAGCTGGTGCGATGGAATGTGGTTGATGAACTTTTCCGAGTTTTGCATCTCAGAAAAGATCGATAATTTTTTCGGATATATTATTATTGAGTGGATCTCTTCTTTTTCGATAATAGTGTAACCTTTAAATAAATCTTAGGAATTCTCAAGGTTGATGAAGCATATTTCAATTTTAGTTCTGTTTAATTCTAAACCAATTTTAGAAGAGCATTCTCTCTCGAGGTGGTTAAGGGCTTTGATAATTTAATGTGGATTACCGCAAAGGGTGCCATCATCTAGGTACCATAGGTTAAGGTCTAGGCCAAAATCATATTTAAAATCTTTCATCATATTGTAGATAGCTAAGCAGAAAAGAATAGGGCCGAGGGGGTAGGTATAACTCTACTTAAAAATGTGGGGCGTGCTATTGCTATAGCAAATGTCTACGAAGCACGAGTATTTGGGGAAATTATCGTAAAAAGATTTTCGAGGATCGTGATATTGTATTGAAGGCATTTTTAAAATCGATTTTGCATAAAACGGAGTTTATCGGTGGATGTTGAAGGTAGATTCGTAGGCTGGAGGCTATATCTAAGCCTCCTTGCATCCTAATTGGTATTTGCCAAGCAGGGAATGAATATCGGATTTTATTATTTTTGCAATAATTTTAGCTATCAGGCGTCTGAAAAATGTACCGATTGCTATTGAGAGATGCCTCCATTAGGTTTTTCAAAAGCAATCAAGTTAGCTTCAAATATAATTTGATGAGCTAATGTTGGAATATCTTTAGTAGTTATATTATTAAGGAAGGTGGTAAGTGAGTTAAAAAAATTATTGGAATTATGAGATTTTAGAAATGTTTGGAAGTAAGATGGTCTATAGCCCCGGGCCTGCTGCTGAAATTTATTAAATTCACTTATTGTTCCGCGAATATCTTGGTTTGTAATTATAAAAGGGGGGGGATATTGAGCGGTGGGTTTGGTAAACTAGTATAAGAGGCATGTGGATGAAGGGATTTTAGGTTGTCAAGGGTCACGTCGTTAGATGGGACGAGTTTTGTTTGTGAAGAGATTAATTTTTGTGCACCACATATGTCGCCTTCATTTATTTTTTTGGATATTTTGTTGCAGGTATTACTGAAACTTTCATTAGAATTATTGGGATTTTTAACGTATTCTAATAGTATTCAAATTTTCCAAATTTTTAAGTCTGTCTTTTATTAGGTTAGGTAGTTAGATATATTTGTTATCTTTTGGGATTGAGAGGCATTTGAGGGAATGTGAAGAGATTATTCCAATGTTTTAAATTTGACAAATTTTGTTAATATTATCATATAATTTAGTAAGATGGTCAGTGATCTGGTAATTAACACAAGATAGGATGTGTTTTATTGTTGATATTTTTTTTAATAAAGATAAATTCTTCTAGTGATTTGTTATTTACATGTATGTGTTTGGTATTAATTGGGGGTTCTATTAGTTTTGTAAAAAGTGTAAGAACCTGAGCAAGGGAGGGCTTGGGGGCCATGTTTTTATAGATGGTCATCTCTTTTTAAATTAATAAGTTTATGACAGGTTGGCAGATTCCTTTCATGCTAATGACGAGAAGATGGTTTAATACCTAAGTTTGTTACTTTGAGTCTAAGACCAAAACATTGGAGTAGGGTTATTTGCTGGTAAGTTGGTATATAAGGGTTTTATTGTAGATGGAATCAGAATAATTAATTATGCATAGTGAATGTGAGTGGTGTATTTTTTAGATAATGTGTTGTAAGTAGTTTCAATTGAGAGTGAGCTTGAACTCAGAAGTTAAAGGTGCACGTGGTATAGAAAATTTTGTTTTCCAATCCTTTATATAAGAATTGTCAAATTAGTTTTTTAATGGTTTTTAACTGTGTTAGGATAGAATGAATAAAATGTATATACTATTTAAAAAGAAAACGTTATGTAATCTATTTAGAATACAGTTGATGGTCTAAATTTTTTTTTTCCCCAGGTTGCCTTGAGCGTTGAAAATTGAACTAATTCATGCAACCCTATTGGGAAAATGTTACATTATGATAAAAATGTTAGCATATCAAAAGATTATTTATAGTGATCAATTGATACCTAAATTATGGTGTGTTATTTAACAAATCGAATTTTTGATTATTTTATAAATTTATATTTTCATTATTATTAATATATTTTTATAAAAAATACTATAAAATTTGTTAGTGTAAACAATTTTTGCCTGTTAAAATAAATAAAACTTCAATCAAAAATATTTTAAATTAACTTCATGAATATTAATCCGCAAGATGGCCATTATTATTATAAAATTATATATATTTATATTTAAAAATAATATTGAAATTAATTATTTGTTCAAAATAGGATACCTCTTTCTATATCAAAAGAAGTTTTGCAGGAATATTCTAATTTTATATGGGTATCAATCAAGACCTGAATTAGCCAAAATTGTCTTAGTGTTTAGGAACATGAGGAAAGGATCAATCCACCTTTCCGCTTAATTTTGAAGAATTCTGGGTGATATTTGATTAACATTACATTTATTTTTAATTTTTATAGCTTTTTAAAATATTGTGTTTTAAAGTATAGGTTCCATGAATTTTTTAAACCCCGACTGATGAAAAAACGTGGATGAATAATAAAATATGGTTATGTAATTTTGGTGTTTTTTTTAAATATATAAATAAGAATAAGTGTCAAGGGTCTGCGGTATTCGGCCACATGTCTCATATTATCTAAGCTACAACTTAATATCATGATGCAAATGGGTATCCCCTTATTTTTTTCTCCAGTTCCAGGCTTTAAAGCTTTTTTATCTAAATCTAATATTTACGTTTATTACGGGAAAGACTTCATGTCTAATATCAAATTTGTTTTAGTAAAATAAAGCCCAAGTTTGGTTTTGAACCCCATGCTGTTGAGCCTTCGTTAATATTTTTACCATCTGCAGTACTCAAAAAAACTAATGATTTCATTTGTGTATATAATCGCATGGTGAATTGGGTCACAGTGTCTGATACAAGTCGATGAGAATGAAGGGAGGGGGGAGTTCGGGGAATAATTTTTATAGACATTATGATATAATACAGGAAAATCTTAAAAAATAGGTACCTCGTAAAGTAGCAATCACTATATAATGATTGACGATCGGAAAATGGCTATTTTAGTTATAAAAAAAGTGCGAAATAGTATAATATAACAAATTTTTTCCTAGAGGTCTGCATTGGGCGGGTTTTTGGACCAAAAGCCCGCCCATCCAATGATTTAAAAAATTTAACCAGCTCGCCCATAGTTTTCAAAAAAATATACCCGCCCGCCCCGCCCATTTGTTTAAAATTCCTTACCCGCCCGCCCATTAATCTAAAACATTTTACCTGCCCTCCCATTATTTATAAAAAAACCCAAGCCCGTTTATAAAATTTAATTATGGTCATTCTTTCATTTTTTTAGCATCTTATAAAAATATTTCACTACTCCTCTACAAAAAGTTTATAATTTAGGAAATTAATATAAGTATAAAAATAATCAATGTAAATTATGGACAATTTATTTGATCAAATTGAATATTTATGAAAAAAATATAAATGTAAAATTAATATTATAAGTAATTATAATGCAAAAATAATAATGAATCGACATTTTCTGGATTCAAACACGTTCTTCTTTGTTCTAAAAATCTTCCAGAATGCTAAATCCGCGTTCGGAAGAAGCTCTAGTTGCAGGAATTGCCAATATTTTTCTTGTATATCTTGATAGCTTTGGCAAATCTCTTTCTTGTCGTTTCCACCAAAGTAGGATATCCGTTTGAAGAATATCCTCTTCTTCCCCAATTGAGATCTTTAAATAAAAATGAAACAATTAATAATAAATTTAATTAAGTAATTTAAAATTTAAAATTAATTGTAATATGCAACTTAAAATTTTGCTACATAACTGCTTACTTTAAGATTTAAATATTTTGTTATGTCATTAGGTACAATACTCTCCTCTGTAACAACCTCATCCTCCCATATGTTGGGGTTTAATTTTGAAGCGGATGCTATTTATTTCAAACATTGCATTTAATAGAGCTAAGCAATTTTATAATTTATTAATACCCTTTAATTTTATTCTCTTTGCATTTGGGGAAAGGGGTAAAATCAGATTATCCACGTCGATGTTATATTCTTCGATGCAAATCAAATCCAACATGTTTTCAATATGTATTTTTACTTCATTCATTTCTTCCGACGTCAACATCCTCATTTGTTGGAACTTTGGTATTAAAAATGTTGAAATTTTATGAAGCATTTTCAAATTTTTCAATTATAATATTTTTAGCTCTTTTCTTTATTAAATCTCTTTTTCACAAATTGTTTTTTCCATTATATCCATATTTATTTGATTATGCTCATGTAGAAGAAGATTATACTTATTTTTTTATAAATAATGAAATGATATGCTTAAATCTTAAAATACTAATTTTATACCACATAAGAACGTTCTGTAGTGTAAGCCTGCAGTCGCTCTCAAGAACATTAGTTGCATCTTTATATGGCTCCAAATAATCAATCAGTGTTTTTAAACCTTCCTTTCCCATAGATCCCATTTTTTCACTCATATAACGAGATTGTAACGCTAAAATCTCATCATACATTATATAAATGCTTTGTAGCATCTTATGTTTTGTATTCCATCTTATATCAATATTTTGTTGTAACGTCTTGCTCAGATATTTTATGTTAATCTCAGGAGTATTTTCCAAAATAAAAGTTGGCTGGAAAGCATTGCGGAGAATTGTGTTCAACTTATGTGCTGAACAGTTTAGTCTATTAAATCTAATATTTAAAAAAATAAACGGAAAATATAGTTCTCTAAATATGAATGTTTTTATTTGGGTGTATACAGAACAGAATCTCTCACAAATTATTATAATATCTACCAATTAGATAAATTTTATAAAATTTAACAAAAAATTTACCCTTCCAGCGCTTTTTAAATATTTGCTCCATGGTCGGTGACAAAGATGAGCTTGGAAAAGTATTCTCGGGGCACACCAAGTTTTAAAAAAATTTTTAATAATTCTTTAAGAATATTTTCTCCCGTCTTTTTTTCCTCTGGAAATTTTAAAATAAAAAGAAATTTTTTTCTATCCAATTTTGATATAATGGATTGATAAAGATATATAATCGGTTTTTGTAAAGTCCTCGCACCACATATCTGTAGTACATGAGCAAATAGAATTTTTTATCATTTCTTCAATTTTAGGAAATAATATTTCCTTAAGATCCTCAGTAACTTTTGATATGTGCCTGCTAACGGATATGGGGCAAGGAATATATTTTTTGGCTTCCAATTTTCCATATGTGGCCCCTAAGTCTAAAAATCTTTGTAAAATATTTACAAATCCTGGTTCTTGAATGGCTTGAAATGACCTAAATAAAGATAAAAGAATAATTTAATAAAAATTAAAATACCTAATATCTTTAGCGCAATTTTCTACAAACTTGGCGATTAGACCCGATTTTATCGTTTTGTTTAATTGAGAATTGTCTTTTTGAAAATATCCGGATATTTTTTTATTATCTATCAAATCTTCACAATTTGCAGATGAACATTGATGACGAAGGAAGAAGGATGTGCCACTTTGTATTATATTTATAGATAGATTCGCATTGCAGAGAATCCTATCTAGCTTTTTGTCATTTTCATCGAAAATGATTTTAAATTGTTTCCACATTGAAGATTTTAGTGTATTATTATCTGAATTTTCTTTTAATTTATATAAATTATTTTTTATTTTTTTAGATATATTTTCTTTTTTCATAATAAAATTTTAAAATAAAAATTAAATTAAAATATATTTTTTTATTAAAAATTATGTTATAAAAAATAAAATTTATATATTATATTATATAATAAATTGAAAAGGGCAATTATAAAGATAAACAATTATAACTAAAATAAAATAATACAATGCAGATTGCAAACCCAAAAAAAGGAAATTTTAAGAGAAAAGTTTTATTATATTCCCAATTTTTAATAGACAAAAATGTTTATTTATTCTAAGAAATTTTATTGTTGTGTTTATTACATAATATAGTTAGGTAAATGTTCTCCACTTAAAAAAAACGATTTAAAGAAAGAAATTATTATAGTTCATTTAAACAATTATATTTTTTTAGTTTGTTTTTTAACAAAAATTTTAAATTTCCTTAACCCGCCCGCCCACTGTTCAAATTTCTTAACCCGCCCGCCCATAATTTCAAATTTTTTTAACCCGCCCGCCCAGCTCGCCCATAGTTTTAAATTTTATTTAACCCGCCCGCCTATTTTCGAAAAATTCTTTACCCGCCCATCCGGCCGGGCGGGTCAAAACCCCGCCCAATGCAGACCTCTATTTTTTCCTCCCCTCAACATAAAAATAATATGTTGACATTATAACTAAGAAATACTATGTATTTTTGGAAGAAGAAATAATATTGTTTGTAAAAAAAATAACAGTGCGACTATTAAAAAAAAGCTACAAAATAAAGTCATAACACAATTAGTTCTCTGCAATAAAAGTATTTAATGAAACGCAATTCGAGACTTTCATTTATTCCTAATTATATTTTTTTTTAAATAGTAATTTTTAATAAAAATGACTTTATTAATCACAAAAATATTACACTTTGGAATAAATTGCATTTTAATTTTGAAACAATTTATATAGTACATATAAACACAAATTATATAGCATATCAAAATTATAATATATAATAACTTTAGCCCTAAACTTAACAATTAGGGTTGGCCACTATTAATCACGACATGTTAAACAAAAAAATTATTTTCTATTACAATTTTTGACATAGTATAAAAATAGTGCTTATCCTAATCGAATAGTGAAAAATTATTTAATATTCTAAATGTAAAATGAAATTAATATCAAAAATCACACATATTTTAAAAATCATAATTAATATTTTTATAATTTATTGTATTAGAATTTAATTGTATAATTTAGAAATTTATATCAAAATTTTAAAATAGATTACCTTTATACTTATTTTATTTTTTTTTATACAATAATACAAAATTTAGTTTCAAAATTATCAAAAGTAATAGAAACTGAAAGGAAAAATAAATAAATTTTTGAATGAAAAATATGCCCTTAAGAGTCTTAAATTGGGCAAATTATTAACCGGTTGAGAAATAGCAATAACTAATTTTAGTTTGAAAAAATTAAATTTCATTTGAAATTTTTATTTGAATCAGAAAATTCTATAATAAAATTATTATAGCCAGCAATATCAGCTGACCTTCTATCGATACCGATATTGATAGTTAATTTTTTTAAATTATATACCATCATCGGCTCTTTATTTGAAAAATATCAAATTACGACATATATCATTATTTAATTTTTCAACAATTTCCTGACTTGGTTCCTTGAACAATTATCAAAAAAATTTAGGGCAAAGACGCTAGAGATCAATAAAATTTGTGTCAAATAATTAAAATTGGTCTAATCTATTGGCATGTTGGGTTTATAAATAAATACAAATTTATAAAAAAAAATACAAAACCTTTTTGAAGACAAAAGTATGTAATGATTGTAATCATTTTGAAGTTTTAATAAGTAATATGTGTAAGTTAATCGACCGTTAATATAAATGTATCACATAAATAGTTCTTCTTTTCGGGATAGTAGTATTTTATAGTACATTGTAGTTTTACAAAAATTCAATCAGATTTTAAACGTAATCACGTTAAAGTGTCAAACAAAATAGCAAATATCACACTCCTCTCTCTCCGCCTTCCTCATTTCGATAAATGCAATATTTTCAAACGTAAACGAAACATTTTTGTTCGTGTTTAGGCACGCGCGTTTTGAAGAGGACAGAATCTGCTCTGTATTGAGAATACAGAAGGGGGTTGTAACCGTAAATGGCGGAGAAATAGTTAATACATTCACTTCTCACTTCGTAATGATTTCCGGAATACCACAATGATTCCGGACAGTCTTGGCATCGGAACGTCCATCTAACGGTAACCTTATATAGTATGTTTTTTTAAATTAAAATTGCATAAACAAATATTCTTTTTCTATTTTTTAAATTGTGATCTTAAAATTTCAAAAAAAATAAGATTTTATAAAAAATTAACCTAAGTTCAAATACTATTTTTAAAAACTTTTAAATTTTGTTAGCTTTGATCTATTTTTTGATGGAATTGTTAGACGTATAAACCTCAAAAATAGAATGAAAAATTTTTTTAAAAAAAAACTGTTTTAAGCGACTTATAAGAAATCGTGTGATAAGATTAATGATGTAATGTTGCAAATGATTATTTTTAAAAGAAATGATGAAGGGTGTTTCTTTTATTTTAGATGAACTCTGAAAGTAACGCATCCTTGTTTTTTGATGAACATGTTCGAAAAAAAAACTATTATAATATTCGAATTTTTAAAGAAAAAGGTGTTAATTGAAATATTATTTATATTGTATAGATTAGCATAAACATGGCCATTGCCTAATTCATCGTCATCTGATTCTATATATGGCCCAAATATAATAAATATTTTACAATTAAGATCCTATATTCAAGGAACTAATTCTATCCTTATTATATGTAAAATGTGTCCAAAAAGTATAACAGTTTCAAAATCTTCAAGTTCTAATTTAAAGTTACAATTCAATGTAATATTTATTATTTTATATAAAATAAACTATAAAGTAGCCTGTTAAAAATTTATTTTTGATTATTGTATTTCATAAGTTTTTAAAATTATTATGATTATTATAACAGATAAATTAAGTTATATTATAAAAGATATAAAATAGTTAATATCATTTAGAATTTATTTATTTTGGTGTAATTCTTTGAAATTATAATCTAATCGCTATTTTTTATCGGGCGTTTTATGTTTTAATTGTTGAACACAATTTAAAGTAATATAAATTTATATATTTTATTCAATATAATGATGAATAGGACAATTAGTTGAAGCCGAAACTATAAAATGACGATACAGTCCTATATGAATGACCAATCTAATAATATATGTACATCATAAAATATAATTGTCCAACAAACAGCTTAGGATACTTGTAGTTTATTAAATTACTGCTTAAGAAAAATAAAACAAATTTGAAAATTGCCTGAAAAAATGGCTGTTACTTCTATCTTTGATTTTTCTCTTATGTGCTAATATAATGGCATTTTAAAAAATTTATAATCAATGTATTTTTTTTAATTGGTTCAAACAAGAATAAGTGTGTAATGGTATTATATTTTATTTTAAATTTACAAAATTTTACCCAAAATACTAATGTTGTTAAAACTTAAAAGTAATTCTACTTGTTTGTTAATTACAAACTAATTATATTATATTTTGTTGAAAAATAACTGTAAGTAGTTTAATTAATTTAAATATAGCACAAAAAGTAAATAGTTACTTTTCTGGTTATTTTAAAATATTTATATTTATGTATGGTATTGGGATTTGGAACCCCTCAATTTTAAATCCTTTATCGAGGACGATTTGAAAAAAAAAATTTTTAAATCCAATTTAATCGAAAATGAATTCCAGCATGTGTCTGAGATTATTTTTACTATAAATTTCAGACAATTTTGGCAATACATTTTTAGTATTAGTATTTTTAAAATTTATATGGTAAATCCATAAAAATCAATATAAATTATGCGTATTAAACCTCTAAAGTTCGTGGCAAAATTTATTTACAGTTTGGGTGTATATGTCAAATTCGAATCAGATTTTTATAATAATCGTCCTTAGTAAATGATACAAAATGGAGATACTCCAAATCTTCATGGATTTCAAATACGACATATACATATCATTCGTTATCCTATATGACGATCCATGCAAGTTTAAAATTAAAGCTTATTAAATATGCAATGTATCATTTACATTAAGCACTTACGTTGAAAAATTTGTTTAATCTAAGAAAGCTTTTTTTAGGGCAAAAACAGGCAAGACTTTTAGACACCAATTTAGAAAATAAAAATTTATTTAGCCCAAATTTTTATGAAAAAATAAACATATTATATTGTGTTATTTATATATTATTTTAGGTGGAAAATAAATATTTTTTTTACAATGCAATTCTTTTAATTAAAATTTGTAAAGGACAAAAATATTTTATTAAAAAAATTCCGAGTTATAAAAATTTTAATAATGCAAGTTTCGGTAAATTGTGTTTTTGAAATGTAACTGGTTGTAATTCAAAAGTCAATATTACTTTAATCGGAGGTTTATTGGTTATATGAGAAACGAGAAAATTCATAGCAATATCCTCACAATTCATTATCTCGTCCACCCTGTTTTTGATCACAGCCGGCATTTCGTAAGAATATTTGTAAAAGTAGTACTGTATAGAAAATTAAAATTTAATAAATAAGAGGAGTAATTTTTTTTAAAAAAACTTAAAATTATGTTTTTATTATCATGAATTTAAGTATAGCTAAAATATTGTTTTAAATTTTTTTTTAAAGAAATCATATATTCTGATTTATTGTAGGGTGCAAAGGGCCTTAAAATATTATAGAATAAGATAATAATGATCATCGAGTGAGTCTATTAAATAATTTAAAAACAGAATCGTAATAAGGGGTTTTTAAAATGAAGTCAGTTAGCGGGGATTTTTTTTTCCATTGGTTATAATTTAAAAATGGCCTCCGTATTTGAAGCGATGAATTTTTGTTTTTGCAAATAATTTTTAGAAGTCATGTGTTATGTGCTCCTTTTTATAATGTATAATATAGCCCTACTGGACATCTTTGTTCTCTTTATCTAGCAGGAATTATGATAATTTACTACTCGTATTTTGTATTCTTCGCCGCAAATTCGCGGTAAATGATGGGTTACATTCTATTTTTTTTTAAATATTCTATTTTTTTTAAATATTGTTGTATTATTTAAACGTTGAGCATGCGCGCTATTTGACTAATAAAAAAAAATCCACTGCTAACTGGTTTACCAATAAATTAATTTATTTTAAACATATTTATCCGAAATAATCAAATATAATAATCAATAATTAACAATTACGACGGGAAACTCATTGAAAAAATTAAATTTCGAAAGAAGATTATCAAAAGAAAGGAATAAATTCACCTGATGTATAAAAGCGGCCCCCGTCAAAACCATAGAATATTCGCAACTGTGATTACTTTTATAATGCCATCTTTTGGAAGTGGAATTCCAAGCGTGATGTCTGGCAGGAAATCCTACAATTCTATCTCGCGATTCTCTCCACACTCTACCATTGTTATAATAAAACATAATATAAACTTGTTTAGAAAATCTGAGTTTTATAAAAATTGTCATCTTCCTTTCAATTAAATTCATACTTTAGTAAATTTAAAATGTTCTATATATTGACCCAAAACTTGACCATCATGTGTCACTATTACATTTGTAATTAAAATGAATCAATCCTTTAAAAATTCTAAATTTAACATATTTTTTTTAAAAAAATTCATGTATTATATTATCATTAGAGACCTAAAGAAAAATCGGTTCAAAGAACCGTAAAATTTTATTAAAAAATAATCCTAACCAACCCAGAAGTTCTTAATTTAAATTATACCAAATGGAAAATCGGGTATATTACAGTGTTTAAAATTCATTTACTTGCTCATATTTTTCAACTTTCCTTATGGAAACAATTTAAATAGCCCTCCAACGAGATTTTAGAAATTCTGGGCTGGGAGGTCAAAATGATCAAATTTAAATCCGAGTGGCTTAGAAAAAACCCAGCCTTGAAAATAATTTTTTTTAATATAGGCTGTGCTGGGTCTGCCATTATTATATACCTTACACTATAGCATTCGGTTAAAAGCCACAAAATAGAAATATAAATTTTTGATCTATAGAAGATTTCTTAGAGATAGATTGGCATTAATAAAAAAAACTTTGTTTAAATCTTAAAGTGGTATTATAAAACGATTCAAAATTCATGAAAAAATCAGATGATTAAAAGTCTAAAGCAAGTTTTTTTAAGAAAAAATTGTAAAAATATAGACTAAAATAATATAAATTGGTTTAGCAACTCTTCTTTTTTAAATAACCCGAAAGAAAATAATAACACCAATCTATGTGAATTATTTTCAACAGGATTTTGTTGTTACTAGTCATTCAGGTTATATATAAAAAAGTAACCTGAAAGCGAATATGATTTCATCATGCCGGAGAGATAAATCGTCGTCAAGAGACAAGACAGCGTCAGTTTGAATGACGTCATATGGGATGAAACGATTATTAAGGCTATTTTTGTTAGTTTTCACGATCTATATATATTTTTTTTAAAGTGTGAGGATAAAAAGGGTACATCTAATAGAAAATCAAAATAATAATACCAATATTGGAACTCCTATGTTAGGCAGCTCGAATTCGGATGATGGCTCGCTGTCCTGGTCGTTCCAAATCAAAACGATTCGGTCTAGGTAAGGTAAATTTTTGAAAGCTGTCAAAAATTTCCATAAAAAGTTTTCCCTCTGGTAAGTGGGCATTACAACTGTAAAGAAAAAATCAAGGTTGTTATATAGAAATGAAATATTACACGTTTTAATTTGTAATATAAAAAATAAATAAATGTATAGTAATATGAACATTTACAATCATTGTCATCAAAATATACATTCTTTGGCAATTTACTTTATTTAAATAAATGCGATTATGTTATTATATATAATGCCCATTTTTTTGCCTAAATTCAGTTTAATATATAAATAATCTCCTATCCCCACATCTATTTCAATTAAAGCCTCTTCAAAGATTATTCGTTATCCGAATTTAATTCGATCGACAATAATGACGTAAATTCTGGGACAAACCTTAATAATTTTTTTTTAAAAAACCGATCCGGTTGCTATATCTCGAATACTCAGTAATATTCATTTTATAATTAGAAAAAAAGTCACCTGACTAAGTTTTAAAAAAGAGAAGTTCCCTTTAATAAATGACAAAAATAAAATTGATATTATTAATATTTTAATCGCTATATAAATTTGTTCCTTTTTTTCTAAAGAAATAAAAGATTTGCATTTTATATATAAAAAATGTAACTTAATAAAGTATACAACGTATTCAAAATGCTTTAATATCAACCCGCGAACCAGGGCCCTCTTTTTGATTGAATAGCCACAGAAATAAGATGGTTGTTTGAAATTTTGATTAGTCACATAAAAATATACTAATAAGATTTATAAGTGAGTTCAAAAATGACCAAACAAATAAGGCATTTTTTAAGATCATGCTCAATCTCGATATCAAATTTCACAAAAAAAACCTGGTTCATTTTTACAAACTCTGGGCTAATAAATATCTTCAGATGCCTGGGATCAAAATTAGTCAACACTTATATACAAAAAAAACTTGATCGCGATTACCTGACATTATAATAAATGCTAATAGCTTTTGCTATGTAAAGTGAAAGGACTGGTTGACCATTATAAATTAAAATTTTGGCCAAAATAATATTATGCAGGCCTCAAGATTTTGTTAATAGAAGTCCAAACCTTTCTACCATCTATGAGAGGCTTCTCTTTTTATTGGGTTAACCGTTTAACAACACAAATCATTCCTTTCCTTATATATTTAAGCAATTCAAAAAAAAATTTAAAATATACTTGTGAATTTCTCGAAGGGGTAATTCCCACCTAGGGCTTTAGCGAATTCTTTGCCCGTACCGCCGAATCCGTTATTGATTGGCCTAAAGCCGTAATTCGAGTCTTGATTTTTTTTTAAGTGAAAAACTTTAAAATAAATATTTTAGAAAGTAAAATGAAGGACGAATATAATATATGCACTCACCTAACTTATATGTTAGTTTAATCTAAGGATTATTTATTTTATTTTTGGAACTCTCAATTTTCTCATTTTAAAAATTATGCTTGGATCTTATAACTTAAATTAAATGTGATATTAATAACATTATTATTTTTTTTCAAGCTGAATTAAGAAGTTTGAAATGCTCTTCGAAATAAAAAAATTCTTAAAAGATTTTCGATCTCGGAAAATTTCTTTAAAATAAAATTTTTTGGGAATACCGGATTTTTGATCAAATTTTACCTAAAATTTCAAATCTATAGCGATATGCATAAAAAATCTTTCATGATGAAGTATGAAATTTTTTTTTAATAAATCTCGAATTTCATGATCTTCGAAGATTTTTTGCTCAAAATTAAATAGGGTTAAAACAAATCGCGAAAGATTGTTTTTTTTTCAAATTCTGAAATAATATCAATTTTTTTAAAAAATATATTAAATTATTCTTTTCTTTAAATCGCTCCCAATTTAAACATTACTTCTAAATTTTGCCTCAGTTGGAAAGACAGGGTCCCAGGGCATAGATGGGTGGTAGACACCTAATCGTTTTCCCATATCATTCCACGCGTCCTTACTTTCGAATAAGTTGCAAGTCAAGTTGGAACGGAATGAATTGTAATAGCGTCTAAGAGCGATTTATTTATTTTAAAAAATATATTATTTAAACACATGGGAAAAATATATTATTTTTAAAAGTACCTTCCTTATACAAATTACAATCATGGCTGGTATTTATAATTTTTTTAAAAATATATAATGCCGAAATACGAGGTTTAACAAAAAAAATTTTTTTAATTTCATTTAAAAAATCTTCAAAATTTAAAAAATTGCAGTTTTGTAAACAATATATATTTTTTAAATTAGTATCCTGGCTTTATTTTAAATGTAATATATTTTTACTAATTTACACTTATATCATTATTGTTCATGATTCAATTTCAGGAAAATTATCCTAGTTACAACTATGTATCGTAAATAACCCTCCCCCAGATATCCTTTTCCCAGTTTTACCCAATCATTCCTTCTTAAGTAAACCTAAAATTTAACTTCGTCTTTAAAGTAAACATTTTACTTAATTAAATATACCTTCTGGTCGAATTCACGGTATCCGTAAACTCTACCGCTGTTGAAATAGGTCCCAAGTACTCTATAAACTCCGGGTCTGGCACCGGGGAATCGGATACATTAACTCGAGAAAACAACTCCGCCTTGACCCTTTTAGCCGATGGGAAAGGCAGACCCAGCCTTCCCATCAGGATGGTCAAGATAGCGTTAAAGTTGCGATGTTGTAACGGGGAACCACCCGGAAGAACGAAATAGGTTTGTTTTAAATGCCTACCATATTTGAGCAAAGAAAATATATGAGGTTCTGATGGGATGAGATGGGTCTTTAGCAAGATGGGCAACTCGGATACGCGTGACACTTGATATTTTGAAGGAAAAAAAATTAATGTGGTTTAATTTGATATTTATTTTAAATAATAATATATAAGCGATATGTGCCATGTCTTAAAAAATTTATAATTAAAAGCGGAACAGCTCTCTGATAAATTCTAGAAGGTGTTCGATTCCAGCAGGGCAAGATTTTTTTAAATTTACCAATTATATAACAATCTTAAAATGATGTTCTAAAGAATCACCTAGCTAGTGTCGTAACTACAGGGGGATCAATTCTAGAATCTGCCTCTCCATATAAAAAAATGCATATTTTTTGAAATATTTTTTTTTTATATAAATACCCATTTTAAATGCTTATTTATTTTTATTTAAAAATTATTTATACTATAAACAATGTTTAATTGAGCAGTAAAATCATAATTAAGAGAACCAAATTTAAATAAAATCCCTCTACAAAATCAATCTCTTTAGTGTTGTTAAACGGCTCGATTTTTGACGATTTTTAAAAACGTCTAACTCAAAATTTTATCCAAAAAAAAATAAGCCTGAATATTTTGCTCATAGATGGCACAAATGTTTGGTCATCCATTAACGAAATCTTAAGTCTTTGGCAATATTTTTTTGCTAAAATCTTGAGTTAGACGTTTTTAAAAATTGGCTCAAAACGAGCCAATTAACACCAATCTCTTGACAAAAAAAATTAATATAAAAAAATAATTTACGGGGAAAAGTAACAATAGCTTTGCTCCAGTCCAAATATTCCGAGTATGGCATTGATCTGAAAAATGATTTGGGATCATGACTAGGTGTTAGGACTAAAGGAACCGAACCCGTTCCGAGAGTTTCTATTATACTTTTGGTCAGTTGAGAATGGTCGTGGCCTCCAGAAAGAAATAGGGTAAACGTGCAGTTAGGGAAGATTTCTTTTATTCCCTCTGTCGATTCATCAGGTTCGGCAATGAGATATTCACCGGGAAATGTTCGATTCAATGAACGCATAAAATTGGTCACGTAATCGTAAACGTCTTTCATATTATCGACATCACCAAAGTTAACCGAGGTGGCATAAGGTGCAAAATAGCCGAGTGAAAAAATTTTGCGTATAGGAAGCATGTCCGGATAAATAAGCCTAAGGGTTTCGTAAGTGTAGTTCCTGTAAAGATTTTCCGGTTCTTTGTAAACCATATCGGAAATAGGGGGCAGGTGGGCTATTATATCGAATTCAGACCGGAAACGAAAAACAGATGTGGTAGAGCGGTGATTAAATAAGCGAGCGTTTCCGATTATCATAGAATTCTGGAAAATTGTGGTTAAGGCGTAGGATATGGATGTAGGTATCGACAATCTTGGAGAAATATTGGAGGAATATAGGTTGGTGCAATTTTTTTTAAAAAAAAGATATTGGGATAGTTGTCAAATTTAATTTTGTACGCAATCGGATTTAACCCAATACATGATTTAATCATTTAAATATATGTATCAATATAAATCAGCTGATAGCTAGCCATTTTTGGTTTCCCGTATAAACTAAATTAAAATTTGGTAAAAATCAGAGTTCCACTTATAAATAAAAAATGCATATGAAAAAATAAAATGGCGTATTGCCAGTTGATTCGTAATCAACGACACTTCAAACAGCATTTTAATGAATGGATCGTCGGTAGGCAAGTATTATATATTATTGGTTCAACCTAGGATGTTATTTTTTGCAAATAATCATAATAGTATGGGCTATGGCCCTACTTCTGAGGGTCTAGATATAATATTTTATTAACAGTCTTGTCAACCGTCATGTCATTTAGAACATTATTCGAAGTTAAATACTGCTACTTGAAAATCATTTTTACCTTTTTCTTAAAAAAGATTTATTTCACCAGATATAACTCATAAGGTCGGGCCCTCTCCCTCCACTTTGATTTAATATAAATTCCTTTAATAAAGCCAAGGATGTTAACATTACAATGATGCTGATAAGGCCTCCATTCGTCCCTACATTAGTGGGGTGGTTTTTTTAAAAGAAAAGTCTCATAAAAAAAATTTTTTAAAAAGTGAAGTTGTTTGTAATTTGATTCTGGGCCGACTATAACTTCGTTTTTTCCTACTGTAACCTTGGAAAGCTTCTTTGGGAATTAGCAAACTGTGCCAGAAATTGTTATTAAAAATTGGCAATCAAGTGATAATCTTGAGTTATCACTCAATGAAACATATCTATATGTCAGTTTTTTTTGTTTACTCTCCGTTAGTAAGCGCGATTCGTTCAAGTGATGCGAAATTTTCCACTATGTAATTTATATAATCAAGCCAATAATAGGTATTAAATGACAGTAGTTTACGTGTATTTCAAAAAGTATTATCGCCATGATGAATCCGATGTGATTTGCTTCGATTGATTTCGCCTCGCTTGAAGTGAATCGCGCTTATTATAAATGCAGCGTAATAAAATCTAGCCCAGACATTTACCAAGCGTTATCAAATTGAGAAGCATTCGAAAATTTTAAATTAATATAAACACGCCCTCTACACTCATTATTATAAAAAAATTAACCCAAAATATTGCTAAAATAAAATCCCGATTATCTCAATCCTAGCCCATAAATAATAGACATACATCCTATTCTTAAACGCAAAAAGATTTTTATTTAAAAACCCGTTATGATTGGCGGGAACGAATATGAAAGCATGATTGGCACCGAAAGTATTGTTAACTTTGCCAGCGTGACTTCTCCAATACTCCAAACTTTCGATCTTCTCCACCATTAATCCAACATAGTCCTCATCCCCTCCTCCCATAAAACCATCATTCAAGGCTTCCTCTGGCAGTATTATTAAATGCAGACAGGCGTCAGCTACTACTCTAGGGTCTGAACTGATGGGCGAATCGTCTAAAGATTCCGAAACCGAATTTCGATTGTAATCAAAGAAGGTAGAGTACCATGATCCCTGTTCGGACATCGTAAAATTTGCGTAGCGGTATGAGAGATGCTTCAGTAAATCTAGATAAGCCGGGGAGTTAGCGGTATCGTAGAGGTGTAATTTAGGGTTTCCATTGATGGGGTTCACTGATAAATGGCAGGAGCTGTGGTCAAAACAGGATGACATAGTGCAAGGAGGAAGGCTGCTAGGATTCTGATTATCATGCACCAGGAAAATATTTTTCTAAAATATTTTTTTATATAAATTATATATTTTATTTAAATATTAAGTCGAATTTTCACATTTAAAGTGAACCCAAAAAATTTTTCATCTTAATAATCTAATTATTAAGTATTTTGTAACCTTATTATTTGAAATTTGTCCAGAGTTAAAATTATCAAATTGTACTTTTTTTTCTTTCTTTCTTGAAATTATATGTGTCTATTGTGGTATAGTTCAAATTTCAAAAAAATTAATTCACTAATAAAGGCAAAAATTAGAAAATTTTTATTTTTCGAAAGCCATCAAAGACTTAACAAGAGTTACTTTTTTTGACAAAAGTAAAGAGTAACAGAAATATGTTCCTTATTAAAACTATACATCATGCAATAATAATGAGTTTGGAAACTGGAGGTTTTTCATTTCGATTCTGAAAAAAATTTTTTAAACAGTGGTTCGGGTTCCTAAAATTTTTACTTGCACAAATCGAAATCAGTCCGATGAACCAGAACCAGTTCCAGAACCGGTTTCTGGGAATTTTAAAATGGGGCCTAGATCCTATAAATTTTAAAAAGTTCCAGGTACTGGTTCAGATTCCAACCTCTAGTTTTATAGGCTCAAGCCGGCTCAGGAGTTGGCTCGAGTCTAATTTTGAGCCAAAATTTATTTATTTAAATATTTTAAAAGAATGTAATAAATATTTTTTTTGTTTTTAAATTTTTTTTAAACATAATAATTTATATTATATTATAATAATATGAAAATAGATGTATTTATATGATGTTTTTTTAATAAAAAAAATGATATGCTGCTATTGTATTAAATTTTTAGTATGCAAATTAGTGATCTGCATTAGGCCTAATTTCTCGAGCGCGGCCCGGACCAAAAATTTATCCGGCCCGGCCTCATGAACGAAAGTTTTTTTATTTGTTCCGAAAATCCCGACCTATGATAAAAATTATTTGGTAAATATAGAAAAATTAATTATTTTTTTTGTGATTGTAAAACAAAAATATTCTCCTAATAAAAAATATTAGGGCCTTGTTTCTTACAGATTTTTAAAATATATCTTGGCAAAATGTAATGATAAGCAGATCTCTACTTAGATGTATCCATGAATTGTTGAGTTATTTTTATTTATAAAATATAAATAAGCCTTATGATATATGGACATAGATATTCTCTTTCATATTATAAAGTTTTTACTTACCACGTTCTTTTAATAAACTGTATTATTATTAGATCTTTAGATTTGAATAATGCAGATATGTATTATATAGAATTTGTTTTATCTAATAAAGTTCAAGTATAACTTCTCGATTGGTTTTATCAAAATGTAATATCTTTTCTTACTTAATTTAAATAATAATTCAAATAATAAATCTCCCATGAGGAGGTCAGCAAATCAAACATATTTTAGAAGCTCGGGGATTAGTTGTTTGAGCTCCACTGGTCAACTCGATACTGCACAAATTTCAAGAATGACGAAATATTTAAAAAAAAACAATTCAAAAATATACCAGTGTTTAACAAAGTCCCCAAAATATAGATTTTTGAAAATGAGAGAATACTCATATTGATCAAATTTTGCCCAATATTCCAAATCTTTAATTGTAAAAAAAAAATTTGAATCTAGAATTTATTATAACATGAAATTCAAAATTTTGAAACAGCAGGTTAGCATTTAAATTTAGTAACGCCCTACATCTTACCCTATCTAATTTTTTCATATCCGATTCGATCCGAGAAAAGGTGTTAAAAATTTTGTCCGGCCAATCAAATATGAGTATTTTTTCTTTTTTTTTGAAGATCTTATTCAATACAATTTTTTTTATTGATCTGTTTAAAAAATAACGATATTTCAAAGAAAACTTATAAATTAGCGCCTAAGGAAAATAGATATTTTCAAAAAGAAAACAAACTAATTAAGTCTAGCCCAGTCCAAATTTTTAAAATCAAAATCCTATCCAATCCAATCGAGTTTGAGAGAATGATTTATTGAATTCGAATCAGCTAGTTTCTATGGATCTAGTAATTATTTATGTTGCCAAATGGAGAGTCGATTTTTAAAAAAAGGCTATCAATATATCTTATCCTTAAAAAATTACGCAAGCTTGAAGAGAAAGCAATAAAGATTTAGACACCTATGAGCAAAATCTCTTGGCTTAGGCAATATTTTTCTGGCTAAAATATTGAATCATTTTTAAGAATCGGTTTGAGTCAGCAGTTTATCAATATTAGTAAAAACGAAATTGATTACTATATTATATATTATATAATATTGCATTTTTAAAAAAATAAATAAGTTATCACTAACAATATTCGTCTTGATATATTATACTATATAAATAAATATACCAAGGGAGAGGGTATAATAACGAGCAAAAAAAATTGCAAAAGGGATGCAAAGGGTGGGGGTTTTTTTTTTTTACTACACATTAATAATAATGCTAAGATCATCAATTTTTATAGTTTAATAATAAACATAATATTTTAATAAATAAATAAAATAAATATGTATATCTAAGAAAATAATTGATGTTGTAAGTTAGTGTTGTTAAACGGCTCGATTTGAGCCGATTTTTTAACCAACTCAATATTTTAGCCAAAAGAATATTGCCTAAATCTCGAGATTTCGCTAATAGATGTCCAACAGGCTTGCGTTTTAGGTAGTTCTAGTGAACTTGTTATTTTATTAATAGTATGGCGATATACATTTTGTTCATTTCTACCTTTCTATTTTTATAATAATAAATAAATAAAGGTTTTACGAAAGAAAAAAAAATTGAGTGTTCAAGTTCATGTTAATCTATTATTATTTTTTAATTAAAGTTTTAAGTAAGCACTAAAAAACTAAAAAAATGAATAAGAGTGGTCACATAGGAATGAAGTGGGGTAGCGAAATATGCATAGTGTATGGATTATGGAGTGTCCTGATCCGGAATCACCTCCTTAGTTACGCCAATTGAAATATTATTTATTACGTATTAATGTAATATTAATTCTTGTTCAAATACTATAAGTTTTTACATTTATTCTTTTTCGGTAAAAATATTTTTTACAATTTATACCGTTACATATTTTGGCTGAATTTTTTTTTTTACATTTAACATATTTATTTTAAAACGTTATATTTTTTGGCTGAAAACTACAAAATAATAATAAATTTCATTTCAGTATTGAAACAAAATGATTCCCCTAAATACACTGAAATATTGTTTATTTTCATCAAATACAATAAATTAGATTTTTGGATATAGGTGTGGGCCGAGTTTGGGCCATAAAAAATTTTTTTTACTGCGGCCGGGACAAGGGCCTGATCAAAAAATTAAGGCCTATGTAGGTCTCTGGTTTAGGCTGACAAGGTAGTTAGTACCAAATTTTTATATTATTATTAATAAAAAAAATTTACTAATATTCATTTTTGAATAAGACTAGTTAATATGCTCTTTATAATTATGTATTACCAAGGTTATATATAACGCTAAAACGATCCAGGGTTCAGGTTCGGTTCATAAAAATAATACTTTTTTTTATTTGATCAATATAAGAAAATTGAAGTTAAAAACATTTAAAAAATGTTGTAAAATGACGATATACAAAATTTTTTTAAAAAAAACTGAAACTACCCATAATAATTGATTGATAATAATCTAAAACAGTTCGGATGAAAATTAGAATTTTAACAACATTCTAATAATAACTTCATAAAATCATGAGGTTCGAACCGCTTCATAGGCATCTTTAGCAGTTCTTTATCGGTTAGGTTAGAAAATAATTTCCCGATTTGGCAAAAAATGGTTAATGCCGAAGTGTTCAGTTCAGGTTCGGATCTTAAAAAGCGAGATTATTAAGATTTTGGTAAATATAATATTATGTAAACCTGGAAATTTTGCTCATATTTTGAGGCTAATATTTATTAAAATCTTAATCGGATTCGTTTTTAAAAATAGACCCGAATCGGGCTTTTTAACAACCCCATCCCTTGTATTACGTTAAAAAAATAATAAAATTATCTTTATTAGGTTAAAAAAATAATAAAATTATCTTTATTAGGTTAAAAAAAATTAAAATAAACCTAAAAGGGAAAGAAATATAAAATGACTTTTTTTTAAAGCAAATAAGGTTGCATCCAAAATTTCAAAAAAAATTAAAAAAGTTGTAATTCCTAATGATAAAGTTTTGAAAATTAAAACAAATCTGGTTTTTTTGGCCATACTTTTATTTTTCTTTTTAAAAGTAAAGGAACGCTAAAATTTCGTGTTTTCGATAAAATGTTTAAAAGTTTTTAGAATTAAAATTTTTCGATGTAACCAGCCTAAAAGAGAAAATCATTTTGAATGTGTTATGCAATTTTGCGTTTAAAAAAAATTAAGAAGCGTTTGGAGAGAGAAACAAAGTTATTTATATTTATTAATTTATATTTAGATATGGAATTCATGGCGATTAGAAATCTTTAAATTTTATATCATTTACTGAAAGAGATTTTTAAAAATTAAAATCTGATTCGATCGGAAATGCATTCCAGCATGTGTAAAACACCTAACCAGTGATTTTCACACAATTTGCCTAGAACTTTTGAAGTACTTAATTAATGTCAACTTTTACATAGATTTTTCATAAAAAATTTTTTAAGGAACATCGTCTGATATTTATAGGCTAGGTATTCTACACGTGCTGAAATACATTTCCGGTCAAATCAGATTTTTTAAATTTTTTTTTAAAAAAACTGATATTCCGATCTCATTTAATGTCTGATTGCAATTGTGTTTGTTGGAAATTTATTTTAGAAAATATCCCCTTAGTTCATAAGAATTTTGAAGTAATTGATTATCGAAAAAAGGAAGAGGACAACACCAATTACTTTGAAAAGATGAGTGGCACTCTGGATAAGGGAATTCCAAAAACATTTCCCCAAAATTAACCTAAAATTTTTTTATTTATTAAATGAAGCACATTAAATTTAACATAAGCTAGAACCGAAATTCAGCTCAAACTTCCGGCGTTTGCCGGAAATCCGTTAACATTAGGGCGTTTTAATTTATATTAGTTTCTTCCATGTTTGAGCTGCTATCTTTTTAAGAAAACCCCGAGTCCAAAGTGATAGTTTTGGGCTAAAAATTGGCTTAAATGGCAAAATATATAGTGATTACTCAGCTATAGTGTTAAGGGACGACGAATTTAAAAATAATATCAATGACTGGCATTTTAATATATATATATATATATCTATACTTAAGATACCGAATTGATCAAAATTTCAAATAGTTTTTATTTTTATTATGCAAATTTATCCTAAAATTGGCTTCAAAAAATCGCAAATGCTAAGGAGGTTTTCATTTTTTTTCAAAAAAATTAAAAACTTATTATTAGAAACTGGACGAGTAAAAATCGTTTACCAATAACTTTTATAATTCAGTAATTTAAACACATTACCAAAAAATACAAATACGAAATTCAGCTTATTTATAAAACCTTAATATTTAACATAGGCTCCACTAATAATATAAAAAAAATTGTTTCCCCTAATAGTAAACTTGCGATTTGTAAAAAAAATAATTAAAATGGGGCTATATCAAACAAATAATAAAGAGAAAACTTACATCTAGAGCCCGTTTCAGAGCTATCGTAGATTCCCTGATAACCTCCTTCAACCCATCCAAGGATCGGGTATTTTTCCAGAATTGTCCCGCGTTATCCCTAGGATCCACATCTTCCTCAAGCACGAATTTGGCCTCCCTGATTCTTTCCTCCATATTGGCTAGGCTTGCCCGAGCTTTCTCCACCTCAGCTTTACTCGTAAGGGATTGTTCTTGAAATGCTTGCATATCCATCTCGGCCCGGGATTTTGTGTCCTGTATATTCCTGATCTGGTCGGCCACGGACGATTTTATGCGCAGCAAATTTTTGATGCGCTTGAGCAAGGTGCGAGGTGTAAGATTATCTGGAATATTCAACCCTTCGTTATTATTATTATTTATACCTAGCCTTTTGTTAGCATAATCCGAATACAAATATGGGGCGTCGGCAGCCTCCAGCCTTTGCAATCTTTCTTCCTTCTCCAGGAAGGAGTAGAGCATAGCCAGAGTTCTCTCTTCCCTGTCCTCTAGCGGTTCTTCTCCCCCCAAGTTTTCCCCTTTATTGGCCATTTCCGAGCGAGCGCTAAGCCAACTATCCCAATTATCTACGCTCGGTTTATCGTTATTTGTGTCCCCTCCCATGTCTAATACTATGTTGTTTTGGAAGATGGCCTTAGATCGCCAAGTAAAGTAAGAGGCTACGAAGAAAAGGATCGTGAAAATTAGGGATGCGCAGGTCAAGATGAAAACGATGGTGCGATTCCATGGTTGGGAGGTAAAGTTGCGAGTTTGATGAATTAGAATTTTGTAGACCACGCGAATCAGCGAAGCGTTGAGGGAAAAAGAGTTACGACGGGTTGGTTTCATATCTATTTTTTTTTATCCACGATTATCGAATGTAAAACTATTCATTTTTTTTTTGCTTTTTTTTCTCGAAATATCAACTTGTTCGTGAATAAATAAGTATATTTAAATTTGGCAAACAGAATTCTGGCAGAATAGAAGATATGAGTGAATCGCATAAAAAACGGGAAAATTAGTTAGCCTTTTATTTCATATATAAAGAACGTGTGCATTTCTTGGAAATTGTTATCTATGCAAAACATTTCTCCTTAATTTGTTGCAAGGGAGAAAATATGAGAAATATGTTGACGAAGATTCATTTTTTAGAAAAAAAGAATAGATTTATTCCGATAAATCTTAAGTTTCAATTAAGGGCATAGACCTGAAGAGATTAATTTTTTTTTTGGCCTTGGCCGGATTTAAAATTTCTCCCGTTTAAAGCTTAGCCCGATTTGTTTTAAAATCTTGTCATTTAAAATAAAAAAGAATGAAGCAAATAAAATCCAATTAAATTTACTTTAAGGTTTCTAGGTTTTTAATTGAATAAGTTATATTTTATTTGAATTTCTCTTCCTTTTTTTGGTTAGGGTAAGAAAAAAAATAGCCCGACAAATTTTTTTAAAAAACTAACAATATCTAAAAGGGCCATCTTGTGCAATGTATTTTTAGGGCCGTGCGAGATTTTTTAAACCCCTTGAAAAATGCAGAATACGATGTTTTCTCCACAAAAATAATTATGAGCCGAAGGAAGGGAAATTTGGTAAGGGGCAACCTGTATAAAATAATTAACTCTCGCCGGGCAAGCCAAACAAAATATTGATGGGTGAGCCATAAAAATTTCATAAAAAAATCTTCTCACGTGGGTTCGGTCCGAATTAATCTCTACCATTTAAAGAATATTCTAATTTTGAAATACAAAATTGTAATGTCTTATATTCTACCCAATGTCTAGACTAGATATGTAAAGGTAGGAAAATTTTATATTTTCCCGGGAAATTTCCCGAATTTTCCCTCAATATAAATATAACATTTTATAAATATAATATTTTATTTCAAAAATTATGATTTATAATTTAATTTTATTATATCATAAATTTTTAAATAATTTTTATTTTTCTCGTGAGTCTTTAAACCTATTTTTTTTATTAGTGCAACCATTGAGTGCAACTTTTCAAATCTATAATTTTAAAAGTACAAAAACAAAGGTAAAATGTTAAACATTATATTAATGATATATTATAATTATTAATATAAATTTGATATATAAGGGTCATTATATTTTAATCATACTATATAACTGATATAATAATTTATTGATGTTTAATTTAAATTATGCAATATTTTATAGATGCCTCGGAAAATTATATCTGGATTTATTAAAGATACAGCTGATAACAAGAAAGGGTATATATTAATATGCAAATATTGTCAATTGATATATAATTTCCCAAATTCAACAAAGATGTATCAGCATATCAAAAAATATCAAAGGTATTGTTTATATGCTTTAGTGTTTTATATTTTTAAAAAATCGAAATTGTGATATATGGATTATTATGTTTTTTGTTGGTTAATAAATATTTTTTATAGAATAATAAAATTTATTGTTCGGAACTATCGTAAAAGTGGTGCCTCAACCACGGGGTAGGCACTTGAGAAAAATTTGACGCTGTGTAAATATAAAAATATACAATCATGAACCACTAAAAAATAAAAATTCGAAATAAGAGGTAAATTTTTTTATTAATATTTAATGTACTGTATAATAATAATAGTGTTTTTCATTAGCTTACTTTTTATCATTTAAAATTGTGAAAATATTTTTAATAAAATTATTAATTAGTTTATTATAAAGTTTAATTTGGAGTTTAAAGAATTTTTGAAATTTTAAGATGCTGAATATGAAAAATATTAAAACATAGAATTATTTTGAAATAAAAAATGTTTCTCAATTAGGTATTTATTTTGGAATAGCGATAATCGTAATATTATGGGCTATAGTTTATTTTTGGTATAAGAAAAGGAATTTCAATAGAGATATAATAGAATAAGAATATTGAAATAAATGGAAATGGAGAAAAATGAAAAAATTGGAAAATTTATTTAATGAAATGTGAAAAATGATAAGAAAAAAAACTAAATATTAAAAACAGATAACATTAGCGATTCTGAAAAAAGGAAATTTGAAATTAATATTAATAAACCAGATTTCATTAGCGATTCTGAAAAAGGAAATTGATATTAAAAATGAAAAAAAAAGAGAATTAAATTTTAAAAAAATGGAAAAAGGGAAAGGGGAGAAGAATGGGAATCTGAAAGGGAAAAAATAGAAATAAAAAAATGGGTAAAATTGAGTTAGGAAAATAAATTATACATTTTATAGCCCTTAAAATTTTACATTGGAAAATATTGAAAAAAATTTTAAAAATCCAAATGTTTCCATATTTCCGGTAAAAATAAAAAATTATCATTGATAGTCGAGAAGATTTTTTTTGGGTGTTGATATTCTCTAAAAATGTTTATTACCTTTATATTAAACTATTTAATAAAAAATCTCGAAAACCATTTTTGTTTGTTTAATTTTATTTGAATTTTATTATTTATATAAATAAAAGAAAATAAAATAAAATAATATAGATGGCGTTATTTCAAAAATCATTATAATATAACATTTTCAATAATATGAATTGTATTGGGATTAAGATTAAAAAATCAATTGATTATAACCTATGATGTCCTGGGGCGATTTGTAAGCAGGCAGCCCATAAAGATATGATTATTATAGTGTTGTAAACGAACGCGTTCAAAATGAAAGCGTTTGTGAACGAATTCATTTTTTTGAAAAAAATGATAAACGGCGTTCCTTTTATTTTTGACGAACTTTAAACGCGAACGCGTTCCTTTTTTTATGACGAACGCGTTCGAAAACGTTCGTTCAATTTTAATGAAAAATTTAATTTTTCCGAATTTTTTTTAAAAAAATATTATTTATATTTTTTAATCGGCTGTGTATTTCCTTTTCATATTTCAATTTTTTAAGACATAGTTTATTAATTTGAATATTATTGTTTATATTTTAATTTAATAGATTAGCATAAGAATGGATATTATTATTTAATCCTCATCATCTGATTCTAAAATTCCAAAATCAGATTAATTATCATTACCATGGCCAAATATGATAAATGTTTTACAGTAACATCCTATATTGAAGGAACTAATTCAATACTTACCAAGTGTAAAATGTGGCCAAAAAGTATCATATTGTCAAAATCTGGTTCCAATTTAAAACGACATTTGATTGTAATAGTAATTATTTTGAAAAATGCATTTGGGATATTTGACCCCAGCAATAACGATAATTATTTTAAAATTCAAAAAAAATAGTGGCCTCAAATATGGTCAACTATTAATAGACGCATGGGATTAATAAAAGGTATTAAAACTATCTCTCAATTAATTACATATATTTTATTTTTTTTTAAATTTAAACATATATATATATAAGGATCAATATGTTCTTTCTGCAATTATACATCCAATATTCAAGCTTCAATGGCCATGGATAAAACTTCCACAGAACAAATCTATTAAAAATAAACTTATAGCGTAATTGAAAAAAATGCTTTAAAACCCCTAGAAATGATAATGCAAGAACTGTTAATTTCGAGATATCCTATTTTTTGTCGAGGAAGTAGAGAATGGATTGGAGGAGGATAACTTATCTCAATTTTTTGAAGAAAATAACAAAACAATAAATGTTTTAATAAATTCCCTACGTTAAAAGAGTTATTTATTAAGTATAATACCGCCCCCTCATCTACCCTTGAGCTCGTTTTTAGCATAGCTAATGCCGTATTAACTGCCAAGCGTTCCTGTCTATCAGATAAAAATTTTGAAAAATATTGTTATTAAAAATTAATAAGAAAAATTTTTTATAAATAAAAATACCTTTTTATTTAATATATTATATTGAATTTATAAATATTATCAAAATAGAACTATATTATTTTTTATGGCTAATATTTAGTTAATAAATATAAGACATTTATTTATATTAGATTAAATTTTTAAAAAAATTTATCATAAAATTTTGAACGGTACATGAACGTGAACGCGTTACTTTTTTTTTAAAGTGAACATGAACGCGTTCGATTTTTGTCAATGAACGTTGAACGCGTTCGATGTTTTTAGAAATGTTTACAGCACTAGATTATTATTAGGACGCTATATTATGTAAAATCAGTGATTTGAACCGAATCTGGAGAAGAAAACCCGGGTATTTAGAAAAAAATCTAAACCTGAACCAAACCTGAACCCCGTTTAAAAAATTTTAAAACCCCGAACCAAACCCGGGAATTTTGTCAGAGTGGTTCAGTGTAAAAAACATAAGATATTTATCAGAGACCTGCAGGCCCGGCCCTAAACTCGGCCCGGGCAGGGCCGGGCCGTATTTAAAATTTTTTAAATATACCCGGGCCGGGCCTAAAAAATTTTTTCCCAGATTCTCAAAAAGATTTTTTCAGGGTCGTGCAGATACTTTCGCCCCCATATCCGGGCCGGGCCTAAAAATTTTTTTTTTTAATATATCTGGGCCGGGCCAGGCCTTAATATTTTTTATAAAAATTTTTACATTATGAGTTAATAGTTATAAGATTATATTATATTATAGTTATGATTAATATAATATTGGGTGATGGTTAACACTACCTAACAACCCACAGATCGATCTAATTATTAATTTCATGCAAATTTATTCAAAGTATTAATATATTTTTTTATAATTCATATCTAAATTTTTACAACATATTTTACCAAAACAATCAAATAAAGGAATATCTTAAATAAGCCCCAATATTCAAGTATTATTAATATATTTTTTTATAATTCATATCTAAATTTTTAGAATATATTTTACCAAAACAATCAAATAAAGGAATATCACTTCTTAAAGTTTGTAATATCTTTCAAAGCGAAAAGGAGAAATAAAATTGATTTTACTTAATATAAAGCATTTTTTAATTGAAGAATTTGTTTTACACAAGTATCATTTTATTTCTCTTTTTCTCTGTCCCAAATTCTAGCAATTACGTATGTAGTCAGGGACAGATCGCAAAATGACGGAAAACTATATAAAAGATTATATTAAATTACAAGAGGTTCAGGAAGTAAATAAAATACCATCGACCAGTCAAATTACGACTGTTGTTAAACAAACTGAATCGTTTTATGACAAATGGGGCGATGGTAATTCTGGTAATATGTCAA